TATAGTTTTCTTGTCTTGACAGTTGACTGCTGGGATGGTCCAGATGGAGAGCCAGTAGTGCACCATGGTTATACCTTTACTTCCAAAATACTCTTCAGAGATGTAGTAGAAGCTATCAATAAAAATGCCTTTGTCAAAAACGAGTAAGTGCAATGCAGGTTCTGAGCGTAGAGCAGTCTACTTCTCTTGTGTAGTAAATCTTATATGAAAATATTGTATCCCAATGTAAATTTCTTCCTTCAAATACACAGCGAATCTGATTATTTTCCCTATTGTTAACTTTGATTTATCTTTTAACAGTGTGAACATTTTATCTCCCCATTAATCAATACCCAGGCTACAGAGGATCTTTTATAAATCGCCAGCTCAATAGTTTTTTGTTTAATATATGGAGATAGTCATAACTGTAGAATTTCAGAGTTGTTTTGGTCCACTTTTAAGAAGAATTTTTCACTGATTTCCAGTGGGGAATTCTGCTTAAAAATTAGTGGCATAACGTTGCTTTCGTGGACAAGTGTCCTCAATTTCAGTGACAGATTTGCCTGAAAAAGGACAAAGTTTTCTAAAATCTTTGTAGTAAAAAAATCCAGGAAGTTCAAGGGTAAAGATGGTAACATTCTGCCCATTATTTATCCCATTGTGCCTCAGGATTATAGAATATACCATATTATTAAAATCAACCATGATCCTACCACACCTATTGTAAACACAACATGATACATTGAGAATGAAGGCTAGATCATTCCTTCCACCAAGATAAAAAACTTTGGGGCTGAGAAGATTGAGAACTCCATGGGATGAACCTATAGAGCTTTTAAATACTTCCCTCTAGTGAGATAGGTTTGGTGAGAGGATGTACAGTGGCCGGCCCAGTGATTAGGGCACTAGAGAAGGACCATTAGAGAAGGCCGGTCCAGTGATTAGGGCACTAGCTGAGAACTTGGAAGATCCAGGTTCATATCCCTGCTCCACTATAGACTCTTATTCCCCTTGTGAGGGTTCTGAAAGCTGCAGAGGGGGAGTTAGCCTGTTCAGGGCAACAGTATTGCTTTGCATGCTAAGTTTCAGAACCCTAAGAGGGGAACGTGGTCTGTAGATCACTTGATCTCCTAACTCCTCCTCCACACAGAACAGGGAGCCTGTGTAATGGCCTCAGAGAGGAGATGGCAGACTATTGGGTCTGAGATCTGTGCCTGTATTCCTGTGGATCTTGGCTTTATAGATCTTCCCATGTCTATTCTGCCATCATATTGATCTTTACCCTCACACCAAATGGAGCTAGAAAGCTGGTGGCATTTTCCACATGGGTTTTCCTTTCATACCTGTTTTACTCAGGAAGGGAAGGTAACTATTTATACACACAGAGAACTACCTGTGTGCATCTGTCTGTAGGGCAGAAGGCTAAAGCCAATCAAACAACTGATGCACATTGAAAAACAATGGAAGAGGGGATATTTTCACCCACACATGGTCTTACAAAGAGTGTCATGGGGTCCTTACTCTTTAGAGGACCTTCACCCACAAACAAACAACATGGATCTACACTGAGCTGTTTTTAGAAATTAGGACCTGCCTTATAGCTCTTGAGACCCCAATTGACTTCAGTCATGGTGCAAAGGGTGTATGTCAGGGCAGAATTTGGTCTTTTTGTCTTTATTAATGAGATAAAAAATATAGGGCAAAATTCTACCTGCAATTACACCAGTGTAAATCCAGAGTGATTGTTAACGTCAGTGGAATGACTTTGGATTTGCATCACTGTAACCAGATGCAGAATTTGGTCCAGGTGGTATAGGGCTCAACCAAACTATATGTCCCTCTGAGTTTAGTCATTAGTTTTCAACCTTTTTTCATTTGCAGACCCCTAAAAATGTTTGAATGGAGGTGCAGACTCTTTTGGAAATCTTAGACATAGTCTGTGGACCCCCCAGGGGTCTGTGGACCACAGGCTGAAAACTACTGCATTAATGTGATAGGGTGCTCAGAGAGCTGGGCAGCTGAGTGGTTAGCATACCCAACTTCCAGCCCCTTGTCTCTTTGTCAAAGCAACAGAGGTGCCTGCTCCTGATCCTAAGCTGGGAATTCTCTGCTTTCTACCCACACCTGGGGCTTGGCCCTGAAGTGGGGAGGGTGAAATAGGGGGTCCCAGCACAGGGCACTGTGGGAAGCAACACTGGCAGGATCCTCCCTGCAGCAAGTCCAAGTCCAGTGCTCTGGGCTCCTTCTTATCTATGTGTCCCTTCAGTTTGAGGTATGGCCCCTATAGTCCAAACAGTCACGCTTTTAACAGAAGCGTCCAAAGGAGCAGAGCCTTGCAGGATGTGGTGGGTAGAAAACGCTCTGCCTGAGGGCCTTACCTGCTCTGTAATCCCATCTCAGACTCAACCCTCCATCTGGCTTATTGGAGAAGAACTCTCTCCTGCAGCCTATCCACCCCATTTGCCTGGCCTTCTGAGCTCCTTTTAACTTGCTCCTGCAGTCCCAAAGGGGTAGAGTTACCTGGGCCCAGTATTGCCTTTCAACCCCATTGGGCCCAGTGTGGGGTTTGTACACCTTATCACAATTAGTCAGTTTTCATGCTTTCTTCAAGGAGATATGATTGTAATAATATGATGAAAAACACCATTTTAAAAACAAAATTGCTGCTACAGAGACTGCAAGAGCAAGATGAATGTAAACCAACCTACTTTCTAAGTTGCATTATGACTGCCTGGTCATATATCTTGAAAAGCTGTTATGATATCATCTGGGGGTTTTGCTTTTGTTTTAGGTTTCCGGTGATATTGTCTATTGAGAATCACTGTAGTATCCAGCAGCAAAAGAAGATTGCTCAGTACCTCATGGAAATATTCAGTGACAAACTGGACTTGTCATCTATAATCACTGGAGATTCCAAGCAGCTTCCTAGCCCTCAAAGTTTGAAAGGCAAAATCCTAGTGAAGGTAATTTGCTACCAGTATTATGTACAAAATGTAATAACAGTCAGTATATTATACTTATCATCTTAGCTCTTGTCCCCTCAGGCCCTAAGAACCCAATTACCAATGACACAGGAATCAGAACAGATATAATTAGCTGGGTTTTGATCTTGTGTTTCTTTTCACACAGACATTAAAACAGGTTTTATTTCAGACTTAGCAAGTATCCTGAGATACTTTTTGTAAAGTGATATTACCAGGCTATATTCAATAAAATAATAATAATAATAATAAATACATAAATAATTTGTACTTATGTATTATCTCATCTGAAGATCTCAAAGCATTTTACATCTGTTAATTACACTTACTGTAGCCCTATGAGGTATGAGCAATATTATTATACTCCTATTTATAGCTGAGGAATATGAGGCACCCAGGATCAAACAAGGAATCAATGGCAAAGTCAAGAATAAAATCCAAGGACCCTGATTCCCATTCCCCTGATCTAACCTCTATCTAATCTATTTGATCTGTGGTTTTTCTAAGGTGTCTTCACATTGGTGCTAAGCACCGGTCCACATTCTCTCCTTACAGTGTATTCTTTAAGCAAAATATAGAAAAGAGTGAGAAATCATTTCAAATGT